TGGATTCAAGTTCTTATTACTTATCATCATATTCAGAAGCATCACTAATGAGTTATATGGGCTGAAAGTAACCTTATGTAAGACGGAGATTATTAGGAAAAAGGAAAATAAATATCACTCAGTAATTTAGTCTAAGTATTTTTTAAATAGTTAAAACAGTTAATCTACTGATTTTGTAAATTATGGGTAAAATGATTGTTAAGTACATGGATAAATCTTCATTAGCAGTCTTTCATTCTTTCTTTCATCGATCCACCCCAGTCTTATTCCACCGATCAAATAACAAATAGCAATTAATTTTGCAACCATAAAAAAGCAACCCAATCATAACACGATCAGCTTGTTGATAAATCACTAAAGGTATTCGAATGAAAAAAAGTTATCTGACTGAAAATCAATAGACGTGTTCAGAATTATTTGACAACTAGAGCCCCAAAATAAAACAACAAAACACCCTTTTAAAATTTTAATTAATGATTAACGGTTAACAGTTCTCAAAGCAGAAGTAAATAAACTAATCGACTTAGAAAAGATGGATAATGGCTAGCAGTGGAAACCAGGGCACGCGTTTCGTCCTATTTGGGACTCGTCAGCTGGATGTACATGGAATGGACATCAACTCTGGGATGCAATTACATCCAGCTGAAGAGTCCAAAATAGAACGAAACGTGCGTCAACCTGGATTCCACTGCTAGCCACTATCCACCTTTCCTTAAAAAGCTTGTGACCTAAGGCTATATCGAGACAATCCACACAGGATGCACATATACCAACAAGAGATTGATCAATTGCAGTTCTATATAACGTTGGTAAGACACAAGTAAAACAACACCAAGTGAATTTCACTGACTTAGAATTATCAAGAACGACAACGAAAAAGAATTTCATGACAAAAATCGTACTAATTATAATGTATTATTTATCTACAAAATATATTGTCTACTGGTGTATCGATATTCATCTACATATTATTGAAATAAATAGAAACCAATCACGACTCATTTTTGTCCACAATTGACCACAAGTAGACAGTAGGAGCTTGAGAAGTAGGCAAAAAATTATTGTTGTTCTTGTTGTCGTTTTTGACATTGTATTACAATCAAAATCACTTAATTGTCGAGGTTGTTTTTAAGAATAAAATCTCAAAAAAACCCAGATACATACAGTGTGTTGTTAAAGAGTGTTCAATCAAGTAAAATGTATATATAATTTGATATTCTTTATTATGTTACGTAATAACAAGTTAATTGGAGTAAAAAATTATCATCCATATAGGTTGAATTCGATGATTTAAGGACTACATAAATTTCAATAGTTGAAATCATGAGTCAGTTGAAGCTAGATCACTATGGAAAACCTGGAAGCACTGGACGGCCGTTTCGTCCAAGTATGGGACTACTCAGAAGTGTGCGTACACGATCCCGCCCCCCGCGAGATTCGAACCCGGAACCTATCAGTCGAAACAGCCATCCAGTGCTTCCAGGTTTTCCACGTTGGTCTAGCCTCAATTGACTCATGATTCCAACTATTGAAATTTCTGAAATCTCCACAAAACCTCTTCTGACTATATGAATCATCGAAAAGTTTGTGTATATACTTATGAATGATTCTAATGATATAATATCACCGACTTTACTACAACCTAAACTTTGTAAATTATCCAACTTATATAGAAATCACTTCTTCAATGTTTTCAAATTTTATGAACAAACTATACAGATTATCAGTATAGGGTTGTGGTGATTGTTAAATTTCTGATTGAGATTGTGAAGTGACTGATGTTAGATTACCATTGAGAACCTGGAAGCATTGGACGGCCGTTTCATCCTATACATATTAAAAACGATAAAGATACTTAATATGTGAAGTAGTAAGTCATTGTTGGAGTTGGAACTGCTTAAAACACTTTCAACATTTTAATAATACTTTTTTTCAGTTAAGAAGAGGTAAGAAAATACAATCAAAAACATTTAACTTAAGTAGTGCTTCATTACCAACCCTTGACGAGCATTTAAACATTATGCTGTCGAGTTAACATCCATCCACATTTCCAGGCTCAGTTAGTTCGCGATAACGACCATTCAATACAATCAGTATTGATTACTAAACTAATAGTCTGGATGAACTTTATATGTAATGACTCGCTTATGGAATTTTAGGAAATCAACTCGAATCAAGTCACTAGTGAGCTTATGATCTTAAGGAGGAATTGATGAAGGATAGACATCTATGAAAAAATCACAGTTCTGGTCCTCAAAGGTTTTCAATGAATAATCAGTGATGAATATATTTTTTTCAATTTTGTATGGAAAAGTATCAAAGTTGTGGAACTATTATAATCTACAAATCACAGTGCATTGTGTTTTTCATTGTCCACTTATATAATCACAGCAGTTATCAAGCAAAATAGTAAAGAACTTGTGATCGTTCGTTTTGTCTTCTACTGGAGCATCCAGTCAATCAAAATACTGAATCTTTATGCAACGACCAGTTTAGCGTTATTTATCATTATCATGATTATGCTATAAGTTAGATACTAGATGGTTGATTTTTCTTGTTTAGTTTATCCCAAAGCATAAAAATTTGTTTTTTGGTGGGAGAGTTGGAAGTATAATAATTTTCATAGACCTTGTCTAGTAAAAATAAAGACAAACTTAGCAATTATTTTTAAAATATTCAAATACCATGTCACCATTGTAAGAACTTTTCAATAAACCTGTTAACTAACTTACCAATCTCCATAACCTTATACTGATAATCACTATGTGCTCACTAGTAAATTGCTTCAAAATGAATTTCTTGGAGTTCTAGTGAGAAGCAGTGACCAGTAGAGTTCAGCCGTGTCTGTCCAAACTCTGAGTGAATTTAACGGTAAGGTTTTGTAATGAGTTTTATTACTATAATTTGTTATAAAGAACACATTTTGACAAATTTGGATCTATATATGCCATATTCTATAATTCATCTGGTTCTAACTGTATTTGAATGTGATGTTTTAAGGCTGTTGAGTTGTATCAATGTTGCCTAGCATCTGAATATTTATATTTAATAGTCATTTCATGAAGAAAGCTGCCTATAAAATGAATTAGTTTTCTACGAACACTTTTTTTAAAAATAATAATTATATCTTCACTAGTGACTGACTTTAAGATGTATTCCCAAAGTTATAGTGAAAGCCATGGTCAATTGAGTTCAATTATTTCAGTTACGTATTGATGAAATAGGATGACTGTCATGTTATATTAAGAACTGAGTGAAGTTGGAAATTAATTACTTTGAGTCATCGTAACATCTACATCAGATGATCTAAAAGAAAATATTTGAACGCCATCATATAAAACATACAAGTAGAAAAATGCTTCCAAAAACAGCTTACTAGGTTTTTATGTATTTTAATAAAATATGGTTTTGTTTTCGTTACTTTGAAGTGTATTGATAAGAAAGTTAAGTGACAAAGAAACAATAGGCTACAGTATGATTTTACCGTTAAAATGACTAAATTGACTTAACAACCAAACAAAAAGAATGAAATATGTATTTAGAAAATTGGGGGAAATCATCAAGTCAAATAATGTAGGTATCTGATACATACTCTTGATGAATACTTATAGGAGCAGAATAAGTCTAGCTATATTAACAACTTACCAAGAATATTTTACTAGAAATGCTAAACACTACTTCCCAATCTTATCCATTATTTTGAACTTCAGATGAATTAATACAATGTATTGTATAGTACATAAGTAGTAAACCAGTATGAAAAATTGTTTTACGCATAGCTAACGATTTAATTGATTTAATGTGTCATCAAATAATCTAGACTTAGTTACTCTGTGTTGATTAGTTAAATCAATTGCATGTCGAATAGTGAGAGGGAGAGGGGAAAGAATACCAACTTACGATATCATTACAAGAAAGTATTCGCCAAAAAAAAGGTCGATATCATTTGGTACTTGTCTAATTAATTTAAACTTTACAAAGTGAATTCATGTTTAAAAATGAAGAATATTTGAGCGAACAATTGTTTTCAATAACTTCATCATCAGGCTCTACAGTTATAAGTCCATAATTATGATATTTTACAAAGGCCAAAAATATGGCATGTATTAATGAATTTGACAATGTTATGTGCTATAAATGGTAAACGTTTGCATCTGTTACAATAAATACACTTTAAAATTGTATTATTTGCAAATTAGATAGGTCATTTAATGAAGTTCAGGATGATTTAGAGTAAAGTGTTCAGTCACAATAAGTAGAATAGTATTATAGCAAAAATGAAAATGCAAAAAAAATTTGTGAATAAAATGCATAGTAGGAGTATTTACTCTTGTCAATCGAGATAATAATAATAAGATTGTTGTGTGAATATAATATGTAATAAAGGGGTGTTATCAAGGAATGTGTGAAGATTAAGATAGAGGTAGTCAAGAAAAGGGAGTAAGATGTTTATAATATTCAGTTTAGGTATCCGGTGATCCAGTCTTAGGCCAAGGTAAACAAAGAGGCTGGATATATTTTTTCTGGATACATAAATTTGGTCTTCTGAAGTTGATCCAGATGGTTTCGGCTATGTAAAGCAGTCGTAATCTAGCTCCGTGAGTTAGATATTTTGGAACTTGATATAAAACAGAGAAAGCTTCCTCTATTTTGATATGATGTTCACTATCTACCAAGTGTAAAAGAATAGTGCCGTTAATTGATTTGGTAACTCCCTTTTTAAACTGCTGAATTCATGTTTCTTCATTAGAATCAATCTATGAAAGTATAAAAGATAAATTTTTAAATCTTATGCAATAACTTTTAATAAAACTTAAACCTGTTTATAAATTTAAGATTAGTTGTGAATCTATTGGTTTAATTTATTCACAACTAGTAGGTGGATTTAACCTATCCAAATACAAATAAACAGTCTTAACTGTCTATCCACTATTATTCAATTAATGATAGGTTAAATTCAATATATTCACTTAAGTGACAGTTACAATCATTTAATTGTATTTAATCTTACATCATTTACTTATTGTAATATGGGATATGTTTTATTTGGAATAGTATTATCTTTAATTGGATGATTACATTTTATTAAAAAATTAAATAATATAATACATTTTGATTTGGTCTCATATCTTTCTCTCAACCCCTCTCTTTCTCTCTCTCTCTCTCTTTGTCTCTATATGCCATTAACTTCTACAGAATCATTATCATTAATTAGTTTAGATTCATCTAAATCATCTAATTTATGTATATCAGTGAATATACCATCATTAACAAAAGAATCAATTAAATTATCATCATGTAATATATCACCTACATTTAATATAGATGATATTTTATCAACTCATTATGAACAGGATGAATTAAATAAACAAACATTTAATGTTAATGAAAATCATCCTATTGTTCAAATGAATGAAACTGATCATACATTTTTAAATAATGGTAAGTAATTTATTAAGATTCTAATAATATTTAATATAATACTATTCATATGTAATATAATATTACATGATTATGAAATAATGACGTAAAAAAAATAAATCCAATATACATAGAATAATTGTGATAAGATGGTATTTTATTATTTATTTTAATACATAGATATTGGTACAAGGAGGCACCAGATACATATGCGCCACAGAGACCTCACTTGATATGTATGAGGGCTGTGATACTGCCCGGGTTCTCAAACCGAACCAGGTGGTTTTCTAAGGAGGTCACACCCCGAGTCTTCGACATGAAGGTCTGATCCACAAGACAGTGGAGATAGGTAAGGAGATGCATTACCATGGTAGCCGGTGACCAACGATTGGTTCATACTCCATTTGTTCCCTCAGGATACTGGATCCCATGTGCACCATTGGTTTGGGATCAGGGTTTTCCAACTCCCCTGGGTGGACTCTCCGTATCCACGATCCTGGTTAAAGCACCGGACATTCGCTTTTCATCCTCTCAATTTCGTAAACAAAACCCGTGGTGGGAGAAGGCAGTGACTAGGACTTCCCTGGCAGAGGCTATATATGTGTGGCCATGTGAGAGCATATCGAGAGGGAGAGCTGAATCTCCCCACTCTCGGCCGTACCAGGGCATTTGGGGGTCGACAGGAAATCCTGAACCCAGGTTTCGTGCTACTTGACACTCGTCATGTTAAGGGAACTGGTACTCCCTGACGGATTCGATCCCGTGTCACTCAGATTCACAGTTAGAGACGTAACCATTGAGTTAATTGGGCCTCGACCGACCTCCTATAGGATTGAGATGTAATCACAATTGATTGATTACTCGGTGGTGTATTTGGTGTTAATAAAAGAAAAACATTGAAAGGATTATAGTAAAACAACCAGGAATAAAATATAATACAGCTTTGAACAGGTAGACTGTAGGTTCGAATCCTGCTGTTTACTTTATTATGGGCAATTAGATAATAATAACAATGATAATGGTACTAGAACTCGTATTCAAAAGTATGACCTAAAGCTAAATATGTAGAGTAATTGTGAACAAGTGTGAAAGAAGAGTTCGCGTAAATACATAGTTAAGATCCATGTAATTACCTCAGGCTCACAGTCGATCATAATGATGACGATATACTAACTGTTGACCTTTCTCTAAACTTTAAGTTCCAGTATCCTTACACAAATACCCTTCAACTTCTGTTTCTAAATCATATTTTCAACACTTGGTCCTCCTCACTATAATTGCTACTAAATTATTTCAATTCTTTTCCTATTTATCCTATTCACTTCATCTTGTCGTACCGCTGTAGCATAGAGACTTGAGTCAATGATATATATGCATGCCATGCTGTACGCTGATTATGAGTGACTGAAATAAACTTATTTTTAGTAGAATCAGTAGCACAAAATTCCCCATTTAAGGAGGGAAAAAATAAATAGGAGAACTATTATCTGGCAAAAAGACCAAACAATGATTGTAAAAGAGGTAAATGATAATGAATAAACTAAAATGTAGGTAATGATAGATTAGTACTTTGACATCGGTTTGGGCACCCGCTGCTTCGATCTGGGCACCAGGGCAGTATCACAGCCCTCACACATATCAAATGAGATTTGTGTGGTGCATATGTATCTGGTGCCTCCTTGTACCAATATCTATGTGTTAAAATAAATAAATAAATAAATAACTTTGACATAGGAATAATAAATGGTAAAAAAAAACATGAAATGGAACAGAATTAAACAATGTTAAGATTTGAAGAAGTTAAATTTTGCATGATATAGCTAATACGATGGTACTAATTTGTAAAGTCTGAAGGTGAATGATGAGTTCCTACTACGTATAATATCATAAATATCTTGTTATATATATGTAACGAACATGCTTATTGTTATTGATTATCTGTTAGATATGAAGTTAGTTGTCACATCCTGATTCGCCATACCGTGGAAAGATACCCCCCTGAAGTATCTGAAAAGGGAACTGGTTTGGGTGTGGTTTTTGACATTCTGTCTTCGTAATTTTCAGTCCTACCGCCTTCTGGGTATGTTATCTTAGGGCTGACCTTTTCTAACTCCTCCTTCCGTTACAGAGAGGCTACATAGCTGCAATTGTTGGTTTTCTGTCATCACACTGCATAGTTGTCAGGATGAATTAGTTTATGATATTACCGCTCATCATCCGACCTGCCTTATGTACTAAGACCTATGGTAACTAGTATTCCAATCAATCTATCTCGACTGGGTCATAACAACATACAAGTTTCAAGTCAAAACAGCAGCCACTGTAGTGATTGGTTGTTTGACAATGAATAAATTCGAGATATTGAACGTCAAGAATTTGTTTGTTATGGTCAAATGCTGTATTCCTCTAAAGATAATGTTTAAGTGAAATGTACAAAAGCTTTATGGTAGTTAAATCAAATTTTGAGACTTGACTCTAAGGGCAAACTGTATGAAGAAGTGTGACTAATTAAAATGAATTTGTAATGTATTTTTTTAAGAAATGAAGTTCACAGAAATAATTCATAGGAATCCGTTTTGATTAATATATATCGATCTTAAGTCACGTATTTCTTTGGAGGACCCTAATATATTACTGGGCGTGCTAGACATGAGTAATTAGCTTTAGGTTTGAATTAGGCATCCTGTAGTTGAAAGTTAATCGTCTTAATCATTCAATCACTTCTCGATCAAGACAAACCAGACAATGAAGATAGTTGAAGAAATCTAGGAGCACCTAAACTAAGATGTGCCATCAGACTCTGAAGTCGCTGACTGTTGGTGTGAGCCATATTTGCAAATTCAGGTTACCTGGTTGGGTTGCGCTGGATAATCACTGGTTGAAGACGTTTGCTGATATAGTTCAGAATCGGTTACATTAGCTTCACTGTTATTTAATATATTTTATCGCACAAGTTCATTGCTTATTTTCGGAACAAATCTTCTAAATTTATTTTTTTTATCATAACCGATACCTTTGTTATTTCGAATTATTTCCTAATCATCATGTTATATCAACACTCTGTGCTAGTGTAGTATACCAGCTTGGACTGGTACACATTTACACCATACTTTACGCTGGAAACAACTGATTAACTAAGCCCTCCACTCCATTAATTTCTTGTGTTAAAGTGGTTACAATAGGGACTTTTTCCATTTACTTGGTCCATAATAAGTAATATTAGCCTATATTGAAATGTATATGGAACGAACTAGTCAAGATTAATGATAATTGCACAATTAATCTGTACTGTAGTTAAGGTGTCTCAGTTCATATTTCATATATATTTCATATATATATATATATATATATATATATATATATATTTATCGCGCTTTTCGTTTGTGTGTGACTAACAGTATCCAATTCGCCAAATTGTACTGGCGCTATACCGGTCTAAAATGCCTAACACATTGAATACCTAAACCATTGATATCGACCAGTTATATAATCCTCATAAAACTGTGTTGTGTAGTCTGGAAAATGAGGAGGGATGTTGAAAATATTTGAAGGGTATATTTTTTCTGATTGTAAGTAAACCAGTTAAATCATCGCTAGAAACGACATTTACAAAAAAATGTAGATTGAACCGTCACTTTTGAATATCATAGGGCAAAAACTAATAATAACAATTACTTACATATGAACATTCAAGTTCGTGATATTGTGTAATGATCATTCAACATCATCATTGGTAATATCTATTTTACTCTTGTTATAAGAGGACAGATATTGTAAAAGTTGGAACTAGTTTTTTTTAAATTATTATTAATTACGATTTCGTTGTATAATTACTGAGTAGCTAGGTTACAATGTATATGTATCTAGTTTGTCACTAGCTTTCGGTATACTAATTAACTATGGTTGTACGATTTACCGTTACTGTTTTATTACCAATCTGTTACCTACAGCCTCCCTTTTCACAGCCTTTTTTGGCTTGTTCATTTATTATTGTTATTCTTCATTTTATGTGTGATGGTCTGGTATGTCTGTATACAAACAACATCTGTTTGAAATGTAGAGGAAGGCTCTCTGCTACTTCTGGACTCAAGGTAAGCCATAGGGAGATGCTAACGAACGGTGAACCAATAGGAACCTAGGTGACTGCTCAAAGCCCATAGTGGTGGTCAGCCCTGTGATTGGCCAAATCAGAGAGACTTAGCTATAAAGTAAATAGGAGACCAAATTAGAATCAGGATTCTGATTTGTGATTAGACACATGACATGGGTCAGTGGGTCTACAAGACAACAGCTCTCAACATGATTAACCCTTACCAATCATAAGTTGTTCCAATTATTTTTCAATAGGATATCCATCTTGTTACTCCGCTATTTTAATGAACTCCTGAACCTTGAACGACAGTGCAATAGGTATCTTTCCCTAACTAGTATTTTGCTTTTAATATTTTATGGATACTCCAATAATTTATTTTATCTGTGGTTTAAAATTAACTGAAATCGCTCTTATTAACAGATTATATTATTGACAAGAATATAATGATGACAGACGGTTAGAAAAAGAGATCGGAATTGTCACTTCAGTTAGGATCTAGATACTACTTAATTCAATTACAATCCTGATGATTTTTTTAGTTTGTATTTTTTTATCGATTTATGCTTATTACAGCCGATTGAAATTAACCGCTTTACCAAATGATCTATTCAACAATGACAATAAAAACTTTTAATGGAGTAGTAGTTAGTGAACGATAAAAATGTTTAAGCTATTATAATTCATCGCAATTTTTATAATTTTTTCCATCGGTTTTAAACTGGCGGCCTGTCTGATCATCTGGACTACCTGTTCATGTCATTTAGGCATTTCAATAATTTATCTATTTTTGTTTGATATAATACATCATTATGTCTAGAAATCGCATAACCTATGCAGTTGCGTTTCTCAAAAAGTGTACAACCTTTTATTGTACAAGTTGTAAAAGGCCCAATCAGAGATCTTGTGGTTGCTGGCAATATGTAACAAA